GGGGTGCGGGTTTTCAGCCACCGCTGTCCTGTTCGGTTTCTTCTTTCTGCCTTTAGGGAGCTGATGGAGCCCAGGACTGGTAGCAAAGGTGAAAGTTGTGGTGGGGCAATGGCTGCTCTGGTGAGCCGGGATTTACCGCCCGCCCGAGAGACCCGCGTCAGGCTCCCTGTGCCAGGGGATTTTGAGCCTTTGCTGAGTCAGAAGGTCAAAATTTGGTGTCTTTGCTTCCTCTGCAGTACTTTAAAAGCACAAGTGGTTTTTCTTTCCCCCTCTGCCTTTGAATCCAGGGAACTAAATATCTTTTTGTTCAGTCAGTCACACGACGGGACGCGGAGGGGTGATCCTCAGGGTGTGCAAACAAGCCGTCCAGCCCATACCTGTGTGATCTGTGTTTGGTGTCTGTTCTCAAGCAGTCAACTAAATAAGAAGATGCACATTTATCGCAAACAAATCCCTTAATGCATCACAGTATTTCTTTTAGGAGTAAGTCTCGCCCAAGCTGTGCTCCCAACTTCTTCAACTTCAGAGTTTTTTCTCCTCTGACTATGTCTTGTCTTTTCTGCCTCCTCGTAGCAAACTCTATCAAGGTGGAGATGTACAGCGATGAGGAAGCCAGCCGGCTGCTGTCGCAGGACGACCGGATGCTGGAGAAGGAGGACAGCGTGATCGTGGAGGACTCGCTCTCGGAGCCCCTGGGCTACTGCGACGGGTCGGGCCAGGAGCCGCACTCCCCCGGGGGCATCCGGCTGCCCAACGGCAAGCTGAAGTGCGACATCTGCGGCATGGTGTGCATCGGCCCCAATGTGCTGATGGTGCACAAGCGCAGCCACACCGGTGAGCGTGGCCCAGAGGCCAGCGGTGCTGCCGCGGCAGGGGCGGGAGGGGATGGAGGGACCCAAAATCCCAAAGGCGGGTGGGAAACGTGTGCTGGGTGGTGGGCACAGATGCCATGGGAGATGCTGACCCCAGTGATGGCGGCCAGAAGGGGCTGGTGAGGGAAGGTCCAGGGAGGTGTGTGTGGCTGGTCTCCCCTTGTCTCTGTCCGAGAAGCAGGTCTGTCACTCCCCCGGTCGGGGGTCACATCCAGAGCACTGCATTTGGTGATTAACCCAGGGCTTTCCCTCTCAAAGATGCTCAGCACGGCTGAACCCGTGGACGCTTCTGGTCTCTGGGACTGTTCATTCGAGATCTGCTCCTCTGCAGACTTGTAAAATGCTTTTGATCAAGAGTTTCACCCGCTGCTCTGGTTTTGCAGGAGAAAGGCCGTTCCACTGCAACCAGTGCGGAGCCTCCTTCACCCAGAAGGGAAACCTCCTGCGGCACATCAAACTGCACTCCGGCGAGAAGCCCTTCAAATGTCCCTTCTGCAACTACGCCTGCCGCAGGAGGGACGCACTCACCGGCCACCTGCGAACGCACTCCGGTGGGTACCTCCGGCCGGCCGCGGGCAGGGGGGGACGGACGGTGACGGCACAAAACCAGGGCATTGAGCCCAGCTCCCAGAAAAGGTGCCAGCCTCCAGCTCCCAACCGGCAGCAGCCGAATTCGCTCTTGTGTCGGCTCCCAGCTTTGCTGCGGTGCAGCGCCGAGCTGCCGAAGGCAGAGCGTGTGCCCAGGGGAGGTTGTGTCGGTGTCTGGTTCATGGTTTGGGAACTCCGGTGACTGGAGGGATGCCTGCGGGGTTTTGTGCTGCAGTGTTCCACTCGATACTGGGGGTTATTGCATCTCTTTTTATTATAAAGATAAATGTTTAATAGATTTTATTGAGTCAAGATAGGTCCCACCCTTGGGTGTGCCCTGCCCCAGTGAGAATGAGCGCTGAGGGGTTTGTTTCTGTGTTGTTTTGACATTGTCCTTTTAAAATATGACATTTGAGATGTGGTTTTCACCCTCTGGTTCCGTGATGTAACAGCTGGCGGGGGCCACGGGTGGGAGGGAAGCGCGCCAGCCGGCCCCCTGGTTTGTGCTCCTTCTCCCTTGATTTGCGTACCGGTGTCTTTCTGCGGTGCTGACGGGGCTTTTCGAGTTCACGCAGATGGCTTTGAACACCTGCGACTCTAACCTTTCGAGTGCTGCGTGGAAATGAGTGTGCGCGCGCTTCCTCGGAGGAAGGAGCCTCTTCTCATCACAGCCTTGCCCAGGAGCCCCGAAACCTCCTCCCCCCTCTCAGCCAGCCCCGAAACCCCCCGTTTCCCCGAGGTTCTGCCCTGTGCCCTTCTCAGCGGGAGGGTGCAATGCTCCGGGTTTAAGGTCCCAGCTTGCTGTGGACGAACCTTCCCACTTTGCTGTTTCTCTTGGGAGTTTGTCATCTCTCCCCCTCACACGCATCTGAGACTTTCCGGGAGATGCGGGAGGAGAATCCGGGCGTTTGACCCCCAGCGCAAGGTTCCAGGGCTGGAACGGGACTGTTGGTTCTTGCCTGGTGCCTGCCCAGGAGGAGGTTTGGGGTTTGCAGGAGCTTCCTGTCCGTTATATTTTGTCTCTGGACATCCCCACTACCAAGGGACGAAGCTGCTTCTCCATGTGAAACGTTTTTGGTCTCTTGTCTGGTTCTCCAGCCTGCCCAGGGCATGGCAGCCGGTGGCAGTTCCGATAC